AATTTACAATAAATTGCTATACCAATTAGCTGAGGATGCATTCATACCTGCTTTCTACCAACTGTAGTCGCCTGCTTGCCTGCATACTTTCACAACTGGTGGAACAGGCTAGGGCTCGCTGAAACCGCCTTCCCCGCCCCTCTCTCTCCTCTGGGACCGCTACAGAGTCCACAGCGAGCAAGACCGTAGGCTCTTCCTCCCGTAAAATGTAAAATCGTTTTCATCTATTCATCATTTTCAAAGCAAATAAGTCAATCTTGTGGTACTAAAGTGATTTGTGATCTTTTCTAGGATGTGTATACGTTGAATTTCCTTCACGACGACATGACTTCTGTGTTTTACTTTGCATGTGATCATTTCCTTGCACTGTTTCCTGTATTTACTATCACAACCAGTTATCCAATATTGGCCACTACTTTAATAAATAACATACGAGTCTTGAGGGATGCTGTATTCCCACCCGGTTCAAGGTACGTTCTTCATTCCTGTTTGTTATTCTATCTGTGACACTATTTACTCTTGACTGCTTCACTCCGGAACTATGGCCAGATTTCGATGGAAATTCCTCGAGGATAAATTTGGCTAGAAGTTCGTATATCAGGGTAGTTTGACCTCCCGAACACGAATCTTTTTTGTTCGGCTAGAAACCGCCTAGCCCGCGTCACAGGCGCCGGCCCCAAAACACTTCAAAGCACGGAAAGTGTTGGAAACTTGTCCCGAAGAGTGTTTTGACCTCATAAGCTCGAATATTACACTAGCTTAGCGTGGAAACGCCTCATTCATACGCTGTCGAAGGCGCTGACGCCAGGCACTTTCGTTCTGGAGACAAGCTGTACACTCACCTCCGTGGATCCTGATCACTGACATGCGTGAAGTGAATGGGTCAGCAGCTGCAGTAACATGCCACTTTATCCGGTCAACAGTGCACGGGAACGGGCTGGAGGGGAGTGTTACCCGATTGGCGTATTCATACTCGTTTGCGTTGCTGCACGACCAGCCTCACGCCTAACCATAGCCTAACGCGCTGCGTATTCTGCACCCTCTCGCTTCTGGTTGTTTTCTACCACTGACTGTGTTCGATGCGAGATTTTGGTATCGGCGCAGGTGTTGCGTCTTGAGGATAGCGCGGGCGAAACGGCCAGACGGCACCCATGTATAACTACACTCCGACCCCGTTCCCTTTCATTTTAGCGGAGGAAGTGGCACGTTACTGGAGCTGCGGCCTTATTTGTGTCGCACATGGTGAGGGCCATCTTCAGAGGCGACTGTACAGTTTGACCTTCAGATACAAGTGTTCACGGAGTCAAGCTGCCATCGGAGACTAAGCTCTGGTTCAAGGACAATTCCCGCGATCAAGTGTTACGAGTGAAACGTATTCATTAAATCGGTGGCCCATAAGTAACATCCCATTGGAGGAAAAAGGCAAAAAAGTACTCTGGGAACGCCCTGAAGACACCCCCCCCCCCTCCAGCAGTGGGGCCGGCGTCTTGGACGAGTTTGTCGGGCAAGCCCAGTCATCAGTATTCGACATGCCACCGATTACCGGCAAGAGCATAGGACACCCTACGACGCTCCAGGCAACACTAGGCACACATGCAATTCCGCTTGTAAGCCGTTCATGCAGTGTGAAAGTAATCTTGGTTGCAATAGTTGCAATACTGTCGCGTCTCTAGCTTGCTTATCTCACCGTTTTGAGTGACTAAAGTGTGTTATGTCGCTCTGCGAATGCGACACGATGACAATGCACGGAGCATTTACGGACACTTGATGGCTGGACTGTCTTTTAATCTACCCTGAACTGATAAATTCTGGTCATTCTGCTCCTGTATCTCCAAGAGTGAGGCAGAGGGCGAATAGTGCCTGTCTCTTCTAAATCCTTATGGATACCTTCAGAGGAGAATCCGAATTTTTATAAATTGGAATAAATTGGATTTAGAGTATCGTCTGAAGAAGAGTCATTGTTAGAAGATGAAAATGATGATGATGATGAGCGTGATTCTAGGCTGAGGAGGAGTAGCCGTTCTGATCATGTAGGTTCTAGGACTTCATGGTTTTCCACAATGGACAGCCATTCATAAATGGCTAGCGTTGTTGATGACGCGGAGTTTTCTGTAAGTCATCGCGTCGGTAAGTTTTTCAAGTTTTGACAAACACTTGTGTGTATGCAAGCTTGACAAATTTAACCCGAGATGGCCTATCAGGATCACCGCTTGAATGTGGTGGCACGACACATACGCTGACTATTTATGGATGGCTATCCATATTTCGAATAAGGGATCAGGTGTTTTTGAGATATTTAATGTGCTTCCAATAAACAGTCCTAAGTTAGTTACTGTAGCAGTCCTGAGTTAGTTACTGTTCTCTTTGGCAATAAGCTAACCATCGTTCTGCCTGATGCCTAATCAAACGAGTAAGGATCTCACGCTCAACACATTTCAGAGATACGATGTAATTATTCCTATAGTGGTAATAGGAATTCCGATGGCAGTAGCCATGCTGACGGATAACGTGCTATTACTGGCTACAGTTACGGGCTCTTATCCAGGTAATCGAAACTGTAGTGTTTTCTTTACCGAGTTACAATTACACGTCAATTCTAATGACCAGCAACATTGAACGAGGTGGAGCAGCGTCCATAGTTGGGGACAGCGACGATTCAGTCGCTTCAATTGTAGCGATCGCAGGGTTACGACATACCGCGCTCCTGCGCTAATTAATGGACCCTCGCAGCTACTGATTGAGCAGTTCCCACAGATTTAACCTTCCTTTCTCACTACCAGTTCTGAGCTTTGGTGCACAAGCATCTTTTCCCTATTACTCATCGAAATCTGTTCTTTTCATGTGATAAGCCAACAAGAGCGAACAAACCGCCACGTGAATCAAGAACAGCCTGTACCAAAACCGACTCGAATGATTAGCCAGATTTCATATTTGATTCTCCTTCCTCCAGTCAGAGAACCAAGCGATGAAAGCTCAGAGATAACAAGAATTATGAATAAAAGAAGGCGGGTTAGATAGAAATTGCTCAGTTGGAGTTGCATCGGTACATGAATTAGCGTTGGAGCGCGACAGATGCTACATCTGCGATTGTTGCTGTAGCCAAGAGACCTTCTCTTCCAGCCTCCTGTGAGGCTAAAGGAAACTGTAAAAGTAGGGACGCTCCAATGACATCGTTTCTTGGCTCCGCCTACCATGCAGTCATGCGCGGTCTCTTCAGAGATGAGTGCGACGTCCAACTTTAACTGTTACCTCATAGTGCGGTTGTTCCGCCATTGATTTTCTTCATTTCAAATGGTAAGAGTGAGGTGGTAAGGGGGAGGGCGGGCACCAACGAGAACTCATCCGGCCACGCCCTTTGTTCACCATACCCGTGCAGCGCAGTTCTGCATGGAGTTCTATATTTGACATTTTGAACGAGTATTTTCTGCCTTTTTCTCCCGTACTGAATCACTCATTGCCTTGCCACTAGTATATGAGCCGCGTAGCTCCCCCATTTTTGAACTCTGGGTGTGCCTTTAACCTGAAGTCGGGACACAAAATCGCTCTCTTGTTTTGATTCAACCGAGTTCATCATGCTGCTCATTCACGCGTGCAATTTCAGGTGTCGCAGTGCAATTTCTCATTCCTTGCTGGTTAGTGGTGAGTGCACGGAAATACGCAAAGAGCGTGCTGAACTTCCCAGTACCGAAGAAACACTCAAGTCCTTTCAAATATAACTACTGGCCATATGCAATAGTCATCTATTCCATATTTGCCATAATCATGGTTACTTTGAATATAGTTGGTGTACGATTTTAATTTGATCTTTTTGACAGTTTCTCATGTTATTGTCAGTGTTGTATAATAACTAAGGGCATTGTTACACTGGTTCTCACAAAGGTAGAGGAAAAGGGGAATTTTACGCAGATTATTATTTTCCCTTCTTATATAGCCAATCAATTAGCATGATCAGCATGTCGCACCATAACCCTTCTGTTCTGTGAGAACACAGTGTCTGAAGAAGCGCTTTGCTAACTTCCTTTTAAGAGGCGGTATAGTTTAGATTCGATTTTTTACATACAACGCTAGATAGCTCTTCGATTATTAGCATTTCTACGTTTTAATTAAGCATTCCTTGTATCGCATTTGTGATAGTTACTGCATTTTAGCCCCAGTGAACATCCCCTACTTACTCCTTACATAAAGCACAGAGATTTATTTCAACAGGATATTCACACTGTGATACTCGTACAAATCATGATTGTAATAAATACCTATTTCTTACAGTTTTCTACCTACATAAAACTGTCTAACATCTCTAGCGGATCATCACAGCAGCTAGAATCTTTATCCCTGAAAACGAGAGGGGGTGTGAAGGGGAGTGGACCGGCGCGCAGCACGGCAGGCCTTTTCCACCAATGATTGCTGACTCGGTGAGAAAGGCTACCCCTGCTGCGCCCCAACCACGCCTCCTTTACCCGCCAATCGTTGTGCCGTCATCAGGACCTATGTAACAACTCTACATAGGAAAGCTTTGAGGAGGCCAGGCGGCGTGTGTGGAAAACGAAAGTCCAGGGTTTCGTCAGAAAAACCCTGGACTGGCTCAAGACAAGGAGCTCAGAAGACTGCCTAGAAAAGGTGCAAGGGACTCGCTAAAGCAGCCGTTGCTAAGGCCGAGAATGCGCCCTGTACGAAAAGTGGAGGGCCGAGAGGGAGACAAGTTCGTCTTCCGCCTGGCTAAAGCTCGGCATCGCGCTGCTCAGGACATCAGGGTCGTAAAGACTGTGAAGAGCAGCAACGGGGCCATTCTCAGGAAACCAGCCGAAGTCAGGAAGAGGTGGGAAGAATACTTCGAGGGACCCTAAACGAAGAGTCCTCCCGCGAAGATAGCCCACGGGTAGAGGCTAAGGCAGACCCTGCCACTCATTTATTTATTTGTTTATTTACTAGCACTTAAGTGCACCATCGACAGCAAAAAAGAACATGAATATTAAGAGCATACAACTCAAAGGCAAATCAGACCGCTGGAAGGTGGCAAATCAAACCGAAACAAAGGAAAAACATAAACCGTTAGGTATACTAACTAAATGCGGAGGGAAGTAATAAAACGAGGGCGTACAAGCCAAGTAGAACATAGGCAACAAATCGATCATGCATTAAAAACCTCTTCCCCATTGGAGTGAGGAAGAGGTCCGTCGAGAGTTAGGAACTATGAAGGCTGGAAAGACAATGGGTTTGGACGGTGTGACCGACAGAACTTTCAAGAGCACGGGTGACCTGGCTCCGACGGATACGTCTTCAACAGAAAGGGGACGCGACGGAGTGCTCCAACTACCGCGGCATCAAGTTGACTCCCCATACCATGAAGCTGTACGAGCGCCTGGTCAACACAAGGCTGAGGGAACTTGTCCCTATCTCGCAGGAACAGTTCGGCTTCATGCTCGGTTCACCCCCTTCATTGCTAGATAATGATGAAGAAGGCATTCGACCGTCTGCCTCAGCCTGTACTCCGGAAAGCGAGAAGCTTAGGGGCCGTAAAATTCTGGAGCACCTGGTCTCCATAGTGAAGGGCATGTACAATGAGGCCAAGGCAGCTGTACGCACCCCTCACGGCTTGACAAAGGAGGTAAACATTACGGTTGGGGTACACCAAGGATCAGCCCTCAGCCCGTTCCTCTTCCTCCTGACTCTGGATGTCATGGCAAAAGAACTGAAAACCATCCTCTACGTTGACTACATCGCCCTGATAGTGGACAGCAGAGAAGAACCCCAGGACAAGATGCAGTGGTGACAGGTTGTGCTAGTTAGGATGAAGTGGAACAGTTCTTCTACGATTTGAAAAACTATGTCACATTGGATAATCAGCTACAAAAAATCGCGCTAAAAGGACGTGCAAGAAGTACAAAGAATTAGATATAGTAATTCCGTTAATCTGGCTATTTCAGGTGTATCAAATGTGGTAAATGCTATACGGCATGTAACGATTCATGGCTATCAAGCTATTTCGTTCAACAAGTAACACTCACATAGCGAAAGTTTATTTAGATGATTGCATTGGTTGTACTCTGTGCTACAGGTACGCGCAAACCCTCTCTTACAAGTAATGTTGACTTGTTATTTGTACAGTCTGTCTCATGAAAAGCATGTCTTGACAGTAGAACATGCTCTGCCCTTTCTACTAGGACATGAGCGTAGTGAGTGCGGTATAGGCCTGAACCGGCGGGCTTCGCCGGCTGACACCGGCGCGCCTCCTTCTGAGATACTGCGCGGCTCCGCCGCGCTTACCTTCTTCCACACATTTCATTAGCCGCCTAGTATCAGGCTTTTCTTTTACCTGAACAGGTGGTCAACATTCTTTGACCAATAGCATCATACCTGCTCCTTTCAACACTATTACGGTGTATGGAGTGGTGGTAAGGAGCGTTGATCAAGTGGACAGATGAGAGAAAAGCCGGGTATTAGTCGAGCATTTGATCATACGAATGTAGGTAGCGCGATGGAGCCACGCCCCGCAATGCCGGGCTGCATAACATAGAGGACTGAAAAGCCTGGAGTGCTCTGGAACCTCTTGAAGAATTTTTAAGGCTGGCCCCGCTCACCTTGACGCAGCTCTGCACACAACAGGTATGCTTTACACTTGTGGGGGTGACCCCTCGATGACCTTCCACTTTTTCCCGGTGTCTGGAGTGCTCTGGAACCGTTTTGTGAATTTTTCAAGTTTCTCCACCCACCTCAGGGCACGCCCCGCCCACAACGTACGCCTCGGCTTCTCAACTAATAACCCCTCGCTGATCTTAAACTACTTTTCCCGGTGTCTGGAGTGCTCTGGAACCGTTTTGCGAATTTTTAAATTTGGCTCCACCCACCTCGGGCACGCCCCGCCCACAACGTATGCCTCGCGCTTCTCGACTATAACCCCTCGCTGATCTCAAACTACTTTTTCCCGGTGTCTGGAGTGCTCTGGAACCGTTTTGCGAATTCTTCCCGAATTTGGCTCCGCCCACCTCGGTGCAGGCTCCGCCCACAACGGGAGTGCCTCGCACATCCTTACATTTGATCACTTGGGGACCATAATCCACATTTTGGCACCTTCTGCAGTGCTTTAGGACCAAACTACGACTTTTTATACTGTTCCTCGTGCAAATGCACGCCCACTGTAGGCGGGCCTCGGCACGTCGTAAACATGTTGGACTCTTGCCAGACGTTAATCTTCGTCATGGACTTTTCTGCGATCCCTAAACATTTTCGGGACCGAGTTACCGACCTTTGTGGGAAGCGCCGCCCATCTCAAGTACGCCCCGCCCATTTCGGGTGTCTCCTCCTCCATTTGGCGTGCCAACCCAGTGCTAACCTAATTCCACTTTTTCCAGTCTCCGAACTGCTTTGTAGCCAAGTTATGGGGATTTTTCAGTGACACGGGAAGCGCCGCCCATCTCAAGTACGCCCCGCCCATTTCAAGTGTATCTCTGTTTGGTCGGTCAGGCCTTGTTAACTTTACTGCACTGTTTCCTCATCTCGGGACTGCTCTGGAACCGAGTTATGACTTTTTTCAGTGACATCGCTAAATTTGGACGCACGCCCCGCCCACTGTGGGGGGCTTACCATGGGTCATGGGTGCTATTTAGGTTTTGTCCCATGCTCTATCCATCCCCACCCTGACCCGACCCCGCCAAGCTCTTCTTCAGGTGCTATGAATTTCGTGACAGACAGACAGACGCACACACACACACACACACACACACACACACACACACGGACATAGCCGATTATATTAGTAGGATACTTGTCAGTATGAGGCATTAATTCATATGTGTTATTACTGTTTCCATAGACAAATGTGTGGTTGGCAGCATCATAAGAAATGCCCATTTCATGCATTATGTTCAAAAGGTAGAACTTCTTGCAGATGATGCCATAGTTATTATTTGCTTTGTCGAGAGGACAGAACACGTATTTTTCTTGATATTGTTTGATTAAGTTGTAAGGTATGTGTTCTCCTATATTTTCAATATTAGCCTTTGTCAGTAGAGGTTTAACTTTGTCATGGTAACATGAACGAAAATGTTTCTGTAATAGATTAACCTTGTGATTGCTAGCTTTGTATTTACATTTAAATAATTCATAACCTTGATGAGTGTATCTTCAAACACCATTTTAACTTCTTGTCTTGTTATGCCTGTGTCTGATCTATATTTAGTCCCTTTACTCAGCAGTCTTCTGAAACTCTTCTTTTATAAGATTTACATTCCCTGTGATAACGTGTTCATAATTTTTATCCACATATTCTTGTACTGTATTTGTAGTACATATACAATCGTTGTTGAGTATTTGCTTCAATTTTTCGTTGTCGAGATCTTTCAACACTTTGTTGTAATTGCAAATTTTGCTAGCCATTGTGTTGTTGTACTTATAAATAATTCTGATTGGGGTGAATTCACTACTCGTACCACTATCGCTGAGTAATATATTTCTAACAGTACGTGAATTGAAGATTCTGTTGAAGGGTATTTCATTAAATACTCTGCTTTTGAAACTGACCTCTACATTATGATAGTTCTTTCTGGTGATTTCTTTTGTGGTAGTGTCAAAATGAAAATGAGCTAGCAGACAAAATATTAAGTACCTAGTCTTATTATTACTCTCTGTAAGAAGTCTGCAGACATGGAGAGTTCAATTAGTTTCTTAATTTCTTCTTTACGCAGACTCTTGAGCATTCTGTAGTACTGAATAGGTTTGAGTGTTTCACTATTACTTGTTATCTCTGCTATAATATTATCGTATGTGTTTACTTTATTCTTTTTACTGTTTCTTTTTCCTCT